AAAAAAAAAAAAAAAAGATAAAGAAAAAAAAACCTAATAAAATAAGAACTATATATAGTAGTCAAAATTTGAAGTGGATCAAAACCTTTCATCAAAGTCCTAAAACCAAAATGTGTTCTTGTCTTAGGACAACTTTGATAAACTTTTTTGATCCACTTCAAATGTTGACTACTGTATACGTATAAACCAAATTTATTAATAAAACATGGTAACAATAAATACCTTGATTTTGGAATTTTCAAACTTTTCTTTCACCCTTGTCTTGGCAAGTTCATTTCTTTGACTTATGCACATTTTTTTCTGTTCCTGAAGAATGGTTAAAAATGATGTGAATGTGATTATAAGGGGCCTAATAATATAGGTCAATTGTGAAATCAGTTTCAATATTTAAAGGTTTATACTTTTTAAATGTTCTTAAATATATAATTTTAGTTTTATATAATATTATACATAAAATATTTTTATTAAAAATGCTTTTATATATCTTATTTTTATAATACAATTTAAAAAAATATATATTATACATTTTATTTACAACCAAATTTCCAGAAAAGTTGGGACATTTTTTTTTAAATGCAACAAAAACAACAATCGTTATTTGTTAATTGTCTACCTTTTCTTCTGAGATTTGATCTTCAGGAAGGCGTGCAGCTCTAAACAGACAGATTAAAAAGATTTGAAAGATGTACAACATTGACAACAACTTAAAATCTCCAAAGGCATGTCAACAATTCTGATGTCAAAAAACATATAGAGAGCAGCTCAATGTGATATCTGGACAGATTGTAGGAATTTTAAAAATGATATTAAAAATTAAATATTCAAAATATAATACTGCACAGCCCATTTAATGACAAAGAAATTCTAATTCTAACCTCATAAAGTCTACTGGATCCATGTTATCAGTCTTTGTACAGATGAAGTTGATGCTTTTACATTCTCCTCCTGGTCCCAGATCTTCAATGCAGTGCTTTAATATCCCCCAGGGGTCTCTGTCAGTGATTGCTCGATTGATATTACTTACAATCCACACAGAAGAGCACTCTCTCAGTTTCTACAGGATTTAAAATAGTCAGTTAGAGGACATGCTTGTAGTAACATATTAGATTGTTTGGTTGTATAATGTGCATTTTCAAAAGAGTGCAGAAATATATTTACAGATTTCCACAGGTCATCTCTAGTCTTGTTGCAGTCTCCAGTCCCAGGAATATCAACAAGCACAATGTGCTCCATGAGTTCACGACAATCTGGTATCTTGATTGTCACACTCTTCACAAGCGGCCAGTACCAGCCACCAGAACATGCTTCACTGTTCAGTATGTAACGTGCAACATCACTGGCAAATTCAGAGACCTGTTGAGGAAATAAGTTGTTTTAATTTAAGGAAAAAAAGAGAAATAAATGTATTATTATTATTGTTGTTGTTGTTTTTGTTTTACGAAACACTAAATATTAGTGTCCTAAAACATACATCGCTTTTTGAGATCTTCTTTGAGTTTCCAGTTTCCTTATTGATGGACAATAAGTTTTCAATCTCAGCAAATTTTTCATCTTTCTTGAGCTCTTCTAATGTTTTCTTGTCTGCATCATCTCCATACAGTGCAGTGATCTTTTCTTCCGCAATTTCAATGAAGTCCTCATTCCTGTCCTCATTTTCATCTGATAAAACTATAAGAAGATCTTTCAACTCTTTCTCCCACTCCTGCAGAAGTACAATATAGAATATAGTCGCACCGGTAGTGACGTCATGGCTGTCGCCGGCCAACGAGTTGGTGTTTTTTCAATGTATGCTTCAGACACGGGTCACGACGAGGCGTTCCCCATAGCGACCCCTGGAGGACGCAGTGTCTCGTTCCCTACTCAGGGAACCATGGTTACATAAGTAACCTGAGACGCTTTATTTCATTTCCTCAATTGTGATTTATTTATATATTTATTAAAGGCATGGTAAGATCAGTATAAATGAGCAAACCTCTTTAGAGAAGAGCTCGATCTCTGCTGTGTAGTTGGAGTCAGTCAGATTGGCTTCCACCTGAGTAATAACAGCTGTACAGGCACCAAAACAACCAGACGGCAGTAGATTCTTTTTTCCCAAGATTGCACTTAATAGGAAGCTCTTCCCTTCTCCAGATTTTCCGAAAATCCCTATGATTGCCTTCTTTCTGTTAACAGTATTCATTTTATTTATCTTTGAAATGATGTCTCTGTGCATAATGATTGTGTGGACCAAGTTATCAGTGACTCTTTTCATGATTTGCTTTGCCTTCAACATGATCTCCATATCTGTGTAAAGAGAAGAAAATGGTCACAATGAGGATTATTGTTTAAATAAATGCATTATACGAATGGCATAAGGCCTATCTTTACAAAACTCCACATTGTATATGTAATAATGAATTCTGTAACACCTATTGCCTACAGATCATCATATTCTTGTTAGCCCCTGCTGGTATAACTATACCAGAATGTGTGCAAAAGGCATCTTTCCACTTTCCACAAAAAGAATTAAATTAAGAAAATGTCTGACATGACCGCTTTACATCTGTTGTAGCTACATTGTGAATAAATTATGTAGACGTTCTAGGCTAAATTACTCTAGTAGTGCCAGATTAAGAATGGACAGATTCAGAATGTACTTGCCTGTTGTCAGTGGTGGCTCTGAGTCAGATGATTCATGATCACGTTTTCTTTTAGTACCTGATAATTATGATTTTTTTTTTCCGTCAGTTACAAACTTTAAAGCAAACACACAATGATATTATTATTTTAGAAAATTGTATACCTTGGTTAGGCATTGTGGGATGGTTGGAAAGATCTGGAGGGATTAAAAAGAACATTCAGATTAAAAACATGATTCAACTATCAACAGACTATTTTCATATCATAAAGAGAATGTCAGTTATCTTTAAAATATTTTTTAAACTTACAGGTATACCTTAGAATAAGATCAGTTTGTTCATTGATTAAAGGATCTTCTTTTTTTCTTAACTATAATAACACAATTTTTTGGCTCACCCTCAGAGGATGTGCTAGGTTGTGAGGGCACATGCAGCAGTGGAGGTTGATTTTTTGTCATCCCATGAATTTTATCCATTTCCTTTCCTGGTGTTTCAAAAAATATGGCTGATCTAATAAAAATAAATAAAACAACAACAAAAAAGCTTATGCATGCTGACATCTTATTTTTCAAGAGAACAGTGATGTGACAATAAAATTGCTCCATCCTGATTTCTTCTGTTTTTGTGAAGATCTCATACTAAATAGTTTTAGATCTTAAAATTAAATATAAAACCCATGTGAAAAGCTAATTGCCCACTTGAACTTAAAAGCTGGTTCAGCCAACTTTAGCAGCAATAATGGCAACCAAATGAACTGAAGATCAGTCTTTCAACAGTAGAATTTTGACCCACTCTTCATTGCAGAACTGCTTTAGCTGAGGCACAATGAAGAGATTTTGAGCATGAACTACCCATTTAAGGTCCTGCCACAGCATTTCAACCAGGTTCAAATCAAAACTTTTACTAGGCCACTGCAAAATTAAATATAGGTTTTTTTGAGCCATTCAGAATTCATGTTTCTATCAGTTATTGCAAGTTGCCCAGGCTCTAAAGCAGCAAAGCATCCCCACAACAGCACGCTGTCACCGCTATGCTTGACCATATATGATGTTCTTTTCTGAACTTGATGTTTGGTTTATGCCAGATGTATCAGAACCCCAAAGTGCCAAAGAAGAGTAAAGAAAAAGAAAAGAAAAGAAAAAACCCATATGTGAGTTAGAGTTAATGGATAGTCATTGCATGTATCAGAATTAGGCTACCTATTTGCTAGCACACGAGCAGCTCCGTTTCTTCTCTGGAGACGCGTTCTGTCCCAAAGTGCCAAAGAAGAGTAAAGAAAAAGAAAAGAAAAGAAAAAACCCATATGTGAGTTAGAGTTAGAGGGCCCTATTTTAACGATCTAAGCGCAAGGTCTAAAGCGCACGGCGCAGATGCACTTAGGGCGTGTCCGAATCCACTTTTGCTAGTTTAATGACGGGAAAAACGGTCGGCGCGTCATACATGCAATGACTATCCATTGTGACATGTAGGCATTTTTATATTTATGTAGCCTACACAATAATAATATTTTACATTGCAATCCTTTAATTTTTAATATTTGGCATGTTTGTGTGCTGCTGCGCGTCTCTGTGTGTGTCATAAGCAGAGTGTACGCACGTTTTGCACCCGCCTATACTAACGCGTTCTTTAAATAAAAAATTAAATTAAATTAAAATAAAAAAACTACTGCGCCATTGACTTTAGACCAGGGGCCCAATCATACACTCAGCGCAATGTGGCACCAGGTGCGACGCAAGTGGTTTTTGCTAGTTTCAGCCCGACCGTTGCCTCAAAATAGCAACGCGCCAAAACAATGCACCTGAACACACCTCGTTTTCAGACCAGCACGCCCATGAGCGCACCAATGGGTGCAAATGCATTTGCTATTTAAACAGCATGGCGCAGGACGTGAAAATGATAACTGCGTCAGGCTGAAACTAGCAAAAAACACTTGTGTCGTGCCTGGCATCACATTGCACCGGGTGTATGATAGAGTCCAGAGTGTTTTGTTCTTTACTTTTCTTTGACACTGCTTGTGTCCCTTTTCCCTTGGTGTTTCTTTTCTTTGTTATCTAGGTAAATATTGTGTATATACCTATCTTTTTTTGTAATTATACAAAACCTAACTAATGAAAACAAAAAAAAACAAAGGCAATAAAATGCCCTAAGTATGCAATCTATCCAAAATACAAACCTTACAGGGGGTGGCTCTCACTCCTCACCTAGTGTTTCTAATAAAGCACTATAATTATATTACAGCGCTATGTGTCATGTGATGTCTCACCTGTCCACTTTTCCCCAGTACAAAGAGAAACTACCCAGCAAGCAATAGCCGTCATTTCAACGTCTCGGTTAACTATAGACCCGATATAGTCCGTCTATGTGTAACCCACTTCTAGCCCAAATAACCTTGAATTTAGTTTCATGTCGTTTTTTGGCAAAATAACTTGTGAGATGTATGATATTCCATCATGTAAGCAAAGTCAACAGCGTTTACAAGGTGTTTGGTTTCATTTCTTTGAAATGTTTAATATGTAGCCTGTGCGTAGCCACGATTTAGCTCGTAGTCAGAGCGGCTATCTGTAGCCCACTTATAGTCAAACCTGATTCACTGTAGTTTTTGGCCAGACAGCGCATGAGATTGTAGATATTATTGACACAGCGAACATGATGGGATATCAACTAAGATATAAGTGTAATTTCAAGACACGGTCTATATGTAGCCACGATTTAGCTCTAAATT